ACCAGACCGAGTAAGGCTGTGGCAGTAAAACCCATCAGAGTATTAAATTTAGTGTTTTATTGCTTCTGAGTTAAACTTATTATTTGTATAAGGATGAATATAGTATATCCTTATGTAATATATAAATGGCACCCCTGAAATCACTAGGAGAGTTACTAATAGTACAACTACTACTTACATGACAGGAGTCAGTTGGAATTTGTTGTCAGTACAGCCTGGTAACAAGGCTCAGCTCACAGTGTCAGCAGCACATCCACAAGACAGACATGAATATAACATATTGCACAATAAAAACAAATTCCCAGTTTTCCTCGGAAGCAGTGAGTTGCATGCTCAGAGCAAGATTCACAAATGTATGGAGGCATGCTGGTGTTTCCCTGCTCCACCTATTCACTTGTTAGATGAAGGCACGACGGATCCAACTTCCCTTGATCCTAATTACAGTGACCGAGATAATGCAAGAAAAGAATACTACACTCAAGCAAGAGGGAAAGAGAGAAAGGAAAGGCACAGCAGCATGATGTGTGAGTGATGGAAGATGTTTTCACATGATTTATTGAAAGCTTTAAAAACATTTTTACATATTGACAATCAATCAAATAACTTCACGTATTGCGAAAAAGTTCACCTATTGTGATTTCCATCAGGAGTTGGTGGGGGATCAAAAACAGAGCTAAAAGAGAGTGAACTGGACTTTGACCAGGTGAACACAAACATGACTCTAAATGAATGCTAATGGTTCTCTGTGTCTTCTTTATAAATCAGTAAATGTTTGCTAACACTTGAATCAACTTTATAAGGTGATAATATGTTGTGGTTACAATTCATTCAACTGCTCCACAAGTGGCACAAATAATCAATAAATATGGGTTTAAGTAAAAGTGAAAAATGCTGCTATATATATATATATATATATATATATATATATATATATACTCCATTACAAGTAAAAGTCCCCTACTTAGTAGTGTTACTATTATTACATACTGTGTACTAATAACAATGTAATTAGGGGTAACACTTGACTTGTTAGAGTGTTTCTCAGGAAAATAGAGACTACAGTCTGAGACAGTTAAGTTAGCTGTGTTAATTTTATAGCTGTTGATTTTTCAGAGGAATGTCTCTGAAACATTATTCTCCATATATGTTGATTTTGTACACTTGCCTGTAGCAAAACACTCAATTTTTCCATTTCTTCAGCTGACCTGCTGTGCACTGAATAAGAAACTATCCAGCTTACACTGGAGTTAACTGGAACTGATTTGCTGTGGACCAATTGTACGCTGTCTCAATAGTCCCATTTTAAATTGTATTGTATTATATTAAAATTATAAACTGCTTTATATCTCATCTTATAATATCTTTTTTTAGGATATGTTTTCAATGATTTGTTTTTCTACCATTATCATCTGCTATGTAGTTTTGTGATGCATATCAGGAAATGCCACAAATTCAACACTCTCAGACCAAAACAAAATCCAACATTTACGTGGGGAATAAACTGACTTTGCCAGGGAAGCAGCAATATGTGTCAGAGCCTGAGGGAAAACGCATGAAATTGTGTTGAGCTTCTTCAGAATCTGTCCCCTCTCCTTGTTTTTTTCATTTATTTTATTTTTATTTCTTTCTATAGCTCTCAGAAGAACCACTGTTGAAGTATATTTCATCTTATCATATATATATTATTTCTATTGATTTGTCTTCAATAATGTGTTTTACTTCATTATAATGGAGTAACAGGTGTTTAGTGTAACATAGTGTCTGTTGTACACATGCTGATGAATGCTGTTTCTTCTATAGTAATATAAAACACATTTGTCATCTATTTTACATTCTTAATCATTTATGACATGTTTTGGCAATACTGTACTTGAAGAAGTAGAAGAAGCTAATTTGAACTGAATTTAGGGGTAAACAGGTTGTTTTTCTGCTATTTGTGTTAAAAAATATGACTAGATGAAATCATGACAATATGAAAGCCCTTTTTTCAATCCAAGGAAATGCTTACATTTTACAAAAGTCACCAACTGTCCTGGAAAGGACAAATACATTACATACTATCTGCTACTCCAAGCTTATTTTGTTGTATTTGGTATTTCAAAGTCAGAGGAAAAACTTTTACCAAACCCATCCAACAGAACTAAAATGTTATTATATGGTAGTCAAGTCCCACAAAGTGCAACAGTGGATGTTGAACCAATACTAAGCTCTGTATTGCCAAAAGAAGAAGATGGAGAGAGTTTCCCTCAACCAGCTGGTCATGAGGCTCAGCCCCCCCTTGCAGCAGATGGCCTGCAGAAAAAGATGAGTGCAACAGCTCCCGGTCATCTACAGCAAAAACGCGTAAGTAAACTTCAATGCTATTTAGCGCTGAACAGACAACACAGAGCGGTAGATTATCTCAGTAACGTGACCAATCAAAAACTGAGAAAGACATTAATAAATGAAATTAAAAAATTGGATGACCACAAAAGTGAGCACAAATTGGCCATTGAGATTGGTTGTCACAGAAAATCCTGGCAACCCAGAGAAAACAGACTGACTCAATTCTGCCAACAAGATGTGGAGACAGAGCAACACTGCAGCCTGTTTAAAGATATAAGAATCAAGTTCTTTAGCAACATAAAACTCCAATACCAAGAATACAACACTTTCTCAGACCAAAGGAAAGACTAAAATCTGACCATACCATTCAGAGATATAGCCAGAGGGAAAACCACATAACAACACATAAAGCTGTAACGAGCTTGGAAATCTGCTTCCTCTTTTTATTATCTATTTTTCTAGTGCTCACTATATCACAAATACTTGTTAAACTATATTTTATATATTTTATTTTACATTAATGATGTATTGGACCATTTTTTTCCTGTTGTTATAGTATACTAATATATACACTAGAGTAACAGTGTTGTGTGTAGTAATGCAAACTATTTGTTTTGTCTCTTTCTCTGTTATGTTCAGATTTTGCTAGAGGCATGGCTCTAAAGATGGCATTGTTGAGAGGTCCACCACTTTGGTTCAGGCTGAAATATCTCATAAACTGTAAAATGGATTACCATGAAATTATGTGCAGACATTCGTGGTCCCCAGAGCATGAATCCCCCGATGGTTCCCCTAGTGCCACCAGCAGGTTGACATTTATGGTTTTGAGTGAACTGCTTCAACATCTATTGGATGGAATTTGGTTCAATGACTACAGCTGGAGGCTATTTGACATTCATTTCCTCCTCAGGATGAATTGTACAGACTTTGATGATCCCTTAACCTTCCATCTGGCACCATCAGGCTTGAAGCTCGGTAAAAAAAAATAGACTGTAGCACAGTGTAACCAACTGTCCCTGAAAAAGTTTCTGCCAGGTACCTCTAATTTAAAACAGGACACAGATTTATATTGGATGTATTCTACTACATTTAACAGACCCATTTATGTCAAACCAAAAGACTTATGAAATTAAGTATTTTTGAAAAATCCTCTCACAGCGTTTCAAAAATGTATTCAAAAGACACCAAAACAAAAAAGCAAAGCAAAACGAAGGTCACGAGGGCCCATTCAAGGGGTACCAGACAGGACGCCACTGCATTATATTACATTTTATATATTTTATAGTATTTTCTGGCTTACAGAATACAGTAATGAGTTGTTTCTCAGTACAAATAATCAACAACAGTACAACACTATTGTTGTGGACTCTTAGTCTTGTTCACACATATATTGTATATACGGTGCCACATTGTTTGGCAGTTCGATACTTAAAAATACACAATTACTTTTAAAGTGGTTATGAAACAGCCTCAGTTTAATAGTGATGCCTTTATATGACCTACATAAGCAAACAAGCCCATATGCAAGATGATTGGTTATTTATCCCTATGTAGTTATTCTAAATGCCAGACCAGAAGAGCCTATGTTTACCCAGGCAAGTCTAACAGTGAACAGTAGTTAGCCAGTCAAACGGAGGCAGGAGGAGTTTTCGTTTGCTCATTTTATTTTTTGACGTTGTATTTTGTGGTTATGGCTGATACCAGGGCAGGGTGAGCAAAGAGAAAAATGCAGTCAACCTTGGTCGGTCATTCAACAGATGGAGAAACCAATCCTCAAATGGCTCTCTTCCTCCAAGACAGGTAGGTAATGTGTCTATATTTTATCTGGCTGTGTACAGCCCATCGAGATAAAGCTAGGTCACGGTGAACACTACTGTAATACAACTGGCTTATAATGTGAAATTTTATGTTGGCCTTGCTATCGAGCTATATCTTGCTGTTGGCTTATTACTATGAAGACATCTATTGGTTGTAGGCTTACATATAACCTAGGTGCATGAACCTGAACAGTAGCCTACAAAAACTTTGTTTTACTATTGTCATACTACAGTTATACATCTCGCATAGCCACAGACAGATACATTACCTCATCACTATGCATCCTGCAAACAGCTGTATTTAAAGAAAAGAAAATCAGTGTAAGAAACAGGTTTTCTTTCTTTCCCAAACAAACAAATGCATGCACTAGCCAGACCATGATATGTACATGAGGCGGTGGAAACACTACCGCGTCTGTCCACAGGGGCCGCCAGAATCAACACAAATTGAAAGCTCCGTGCTTTAGTTATGGTCATGGCACTAGATTTTCTGCTCTTTGCACATAAAAAAATGAAAAACCTCCCTCCAAGCTGATGCACAATGATTTGTTCCCCCACCACACATACAGACGCTATAATAGCAGCGAGAATTTCCCCAGCCCTGCCAGATCACTCTGCTACTTCAAGCTCAAACCATACTTGCAATTTTACAATAAAGTTATGGGAATTCACAGAAGCATAGTATACAGTAGGAACTAGCCTAATGCTGCATACGCAGCTTTTTTCTGTCCATTGTTCTGCATTTCTGTAGCAATGCTTGGGCATCACAATGCTCTTCGCCTGCCAATAAAGACTGAAACAGAGAGAGAGAGACAGAGAGAGAGACAGAGAGAGAGAGAGAGAGAGAGAGAGAGAGAGAGAGAGAGAGAGGTGGGCTGTGGCTGTACCTCAGTGTTACAGAGTGTCGTCGTGGGAGCGGTTTGCTCTTCCACATCAGACTCCTTCTATCCCTCCGTGCTGGAGGAGCGAGGAGGAACCTCTCCTCTGTTTTTCCCCTGTGCGGACACACGGATAATACCACACCACGGCTGGGAAGATGGTTTTTCTGCGGCATATGGTTACCCTTTATACTCTGAGCGTCTTTAGCGGAGCATCCGCCGCCACTCACTGTGAGTACTTCCACATAAGCTCACCTGTAAGCTCCTCTCCTCTCCAGTCTGATAAGTGAAAGCTGACGGCGGGGCTGGTTGGGAGAATCAGACAGAAGCTGCTCAAACCAGCCAAGTTTTCACGCCTGGCTGGTACCTGTGTGCTCCTATTGTTGCAGACGGACTCCGGGGCATCGTGACTATTAAAGCTGTGCTGTTGTTGGTCATTTCAAGTCCACTTTGAAGAGTAGGCTACTTAGACGGTTTCCTTTGTGTCAGGATCATGCAGATGAACAAGTTGTAGGCATTACCTCGGCTGTGTTTCCTCACCTCTCTGTGTGCAATGAAGGTCAAGCAAACAGGTTCATTTATTTTCATTCACAAGTCAAACGCAGACCGGGCTGCAAAAGCCTGCTGTGCTCACTCTGCATCCCGCGGTTACTCGGTACACCCCGGGTTATTTAGCACACAGAGCCTTCATGTGATATTTTAAGAGTCGGTCTTTGGACATGTTTTGCTGATGTGCGTTGGTGAACAGAAACTGCTGACTGGCCACAGCTGTACTGTACAGCTGTATACGGCTGCTGTTATCGGTCGACTCCTATGTGAAAACACTATACACTGACACAGCCTGCAGAAGCTTCCACTAAAGACAGATTGCTTTTCCCCCAGGGGCTTTTCATTTTTAAATTGAAGCTGTACAGGTTTGGCTTTGTATTTAATTGCTTGAGTGGTTCCAATAACATGTGGAACAATTTTGAAAAAACATCAATCATTTAAGTCATTTTTCAAGCAAAAATGACTAAATGTAATATTTATTCTGCTTCTATAATGTGAAAGCTTCTACTTTCCTTGGTCTCTATAGAAAACTGCATATCAATGGGTTTTGAATAGTGTTTGTTGGACAAAACAACCATTTTACAGTCAAAATTGCTTGTTGTTTTTTTTAACCATTATTAAATATTTCAAAGACAAAATGATTACTGAAGGAAATAATCAGCAGAATAAAATAATCGTTGAAACACTATTATCTTCTTTAGGAGAATCTGTGCATATCGTGCACTTGTAGGCCGATATGTTTGTTGAACCTATTGTCTTAATTTATCTTTAAGCCATGTTGCAGTAGACCTAATTCACTTAGAAATATGCAGTGGGAACAATGAGCGGAGCTAACAGGTTAAAACTCTTCATACCTGAACTAAAGACAAACCCTGCAGGCCTAGATTGCTGTTAATACAAAAAAAAAGTGCTTTCTTTCACACATAGCAACTTTACACTTTGCCACACAACTAGCTGACATGTGTTTAATATTTAGTCACATATGGAACATATGGTTTCATATGGTTAAAGTGTTAGTTTCACAACAATCTACAGGAAACATGTCTCCATTTCCATTTGCTCTATTTACCACACACTATTATATATGTGTTGCCAAAGCATAGTATCACCCGGCGGCCCTGGTCTTCAAATGTCGCTTTACCGATTCAGTCTAACATGCTGATATTCAGGCTAAAATAATCCTGTTAATTCTCATCCAGCTAATTTGGTTCTTTGAAAGCAGTCGAAGGATTGATTTGTTAATTCTGTGTGAATTGATCCTAAGTAACTGTGCATTTATTATGAAATAAAGGCAAAATGAGTAGAGAGTAGAGAGGGTTGAAACCATGATCAGCATCCATATAATTGGCTGATCATGTGGTTGTGCTTACATGAGGTAGGTGTGTCAGGAACCCTCCCAGCATGCACTTGGGCAACACATTCATTCATAAGTGTAATTTCATGTGTTCCTTCATTTTATTTCAACATTTTAGTTGAGTTCATGTCTTTTGCTCAGTATCTGAAATCTCAAACTTCATTTTGATTGGTTCTTTTTTAATGTACAAACTTTTACTTTGTTGTTTATTTGAGCATGTATAAGTCAACTATATATTCAAATTTATTAATTAAGATAAACCCCTTAAGATGCACCATCTTGTTTTTCGAGGGGGTCCTAACATATATCACAATCACAACAACAGAGCAGTGACAAGAAATACTTTGTCAATTTGTTAATGTACAGAAAGACAGCAGACACACATACACACACACACACACACACACACACACACACACACCACCACCACAACAACAACAAATACAAAACAAACAAAAAAGAGTTAGTTAACTCGTCATTATGACATAAAAACAGTTTATAATGATTTAACAATAACCTGCATTTAGTATTTTAAAATCATTATTATATCGACATTATTTCATTTTTAATCTATGAAAGCCATTTGTATTTGAAAATTTCTTCACGTAAAAAATCTTGGCCATGATCCTGCTAAACCTGCACGTTTGCAGGTTTGGGCTTAAGGACATGTTGTTCTGACAAAAGGTCCAGAAATCGTCATCATTCTAATCTGGACAGCTCTGTTATCTACATACAAAGAACAGGAAAAGTTGGAAATATTCTAACATTATAAATTAGTATGTTTTGCTCCTGCTTCTTTTCTGGATATTTTAATCTGGTTTCCCACATGTCCCTGGAACTGGTACTGGTACTGGTACTTTACCTAGAAGAAAACTGTGGCACACTGTAAGTTATGTGTTTTAACATAAAATTAAGATTATTGTTTTAATAAAGAATTGAGGTTGAGTCACCATGGCTGAACAGAAAGATATCCTGACAAACTCAACCCTTTGCTCCACGGGTTACCAGATTTCCGTTAATTTCCCTGTGTATATTCATGCTAATATATCCACTTAAAACAAAATCTAATGGGCAGATTATCATTCTTTCCATTTTGGGGGTTTCTCTGAGTCTTGTTCTAGCATCACTTTTATTAATTTATTCACACAACAATCTATTATCTATCAAAGGATGGTCAAAATCAAGGGCAACTGGACTTGCTTGAAGATGTTTCACCTCTCATCCAGGGGGCTTCTTAATTTCTGCCAAACCAAGTCCAGTTGCCCTTGATATTACCCTTCCTTGGATAACTACGACCTGGATGACTGAGAATCTTCACATACAGTCTAATTTAAAATTATAAGCTAATGATCAGGTTTCAGTTGGCTTGGTGGCACATTCTTGCATACTCCCAAGAGTATAACACTTTTTTTTTGTCATGTCTTGTCATATTAAAAATGTAAAAAGTGATACAGTAATTGAATACATCCGAGGCGTGACATCATTTGATCTTTTTGTTTGTGCTCTCTGAGGACGAGTGTGACACCATGCTTGTGTTGGGGGTTTGGCAGTTAATATTAAGGTGAATAACTGAGCTAAACTGACAGCTGCATTACTCATTTATGACAGTCCTGTGGTTCTCAAATGTGTGCAATGATCAGGTCTGACATGATGTGCTGATGTGAAATGGTGAGATGCTCCTGGAGGTCAAAGAGCTGCTCTCGTATTTAAAACTGGGAAAATAAAAGGAGGGGGGCAGAGATGTGTCATGGCGGGTTTGGTTGGCCTTTGTCAGATGGCAGCTACTTCCTCTCAGAAAGCTTTTTGCACTTTGGCTTTACAAAGAGACAATAACAAGTACGTCATTGGATACATCAGCATTCGATCTGTCATTTTTCAGCTGGAGTTAATTGATACTGTATGGGTTGACCTTTACAGTACTTTCCAAGTAACTGGAAATCGAGGAGCTATTCACAAATGTCTTTAAACAATGTTTGCCTTAATCAATTATTATATTAACACAGTACAATACTACTTGTTCACTATTGGAAAGTTGTCTTAAAAACATCAACCCGCAAGGTGGTGTCCAGCAATTATGTCAGTAAAAGTAAAAGTGAGAAAATTGATTATACAGCGGCTATCTTTTAAAATACATTGAGTTTTGGATTCAGTTCCGTGCAGAATTCCCCTGCTGGTTCTTAAGATTTTTTAATTACTTTACTGGCAGCCCCTGCCAGGATGCTGAATTGTAATTGTTTTTTACTAGTGCCTTGTCCAGAATATTCTGGCCTAACACCAAAGCCATGTGCATTGCTGCAATACTGAGTAAGATGTAAGGGATTACAATTAGAAATTCATTAATTACATTAGTTACTTAACCAAGTGAAGCTCCCTTACTCAGACATTTTTGAGGTCAGCTTCTTTGCTGTCATGTCAGGAGTTGATGGGAGGGTTGGTATCCAACACAGTCTCATTCCCAACGTGTCCAGTATGGGCTCTTGGTCAAGATCTTGGCGTCGCTTTTAAACACACTGGATACCACTTTAGAGCAGATTTTTTTGCACGTGAAGGGCTCTGTGGTAAGCAATAATAAATATGCAATGTGCGGTTATACATATAACACACATGGTTAACGTTGTAAAACTGTTTCAGTTTGGATAGGTTAAGGGAAAGATCATAGTTTGGGTTAAAATGAGTATGTTAGTTAAGTGAAGTTACCCTGGTTAAGTTACGTATGTCACATAAATTATACACATTATGTAGCTTACATACTAGAGGTACTGTATTTGTATTCAGACAGACATTTGAATGTTGGTGTGGTTTAGGAATTTGTATTTTCTAACCCAATATTCATTGGAAATGCAATTGTTTTGCCTTCAACACACCGAATTGATTATGATAATATATACTTTTTTCTCTCTCTCTTTTTTATTATTTTTTACTAAACTAAGTTTTGCGAGATGTCTGGACCCGACCACCACCATACATACGCTACAGAAACAAAATAATTGACACTTAAATGGCAGAATAAATCTTCACCGAAGCAGACAACACAACGATGTATAAACTGAATAAACTCCACATTGACTGCACATATCAAAACAAAGAGAGCTGCACAGTTTTCACACGCCGCGTAACACGCTCACAATGCTAGATTGCTTGGTAACAATGGTTGTATCTAGCTGTCTGAACGTGATTGCTTGGGTCTTGTGCACATCAACGTCCTAAACAATCTGCTCTTGGTTCAACCTCTTTGCTTAGCCTCTTTGTCCCAATATAACAAGTCCACCACTGTGTCTCCCACTGCGCTCCTCAAAGTTTCAGTAATGTATAATGAATTATGTCTTCA